CCGCCGCCCCCCCCCCTCCCCCCGAAAGGCTGATGGGGATCTCAAAGGCAAAGGACCTCGCGGCTGGAAAATTGCGTAGACGCAGGAACAGCCGAACGGCAGGATCCCCAGGATCCCCAGGATGCCCAGGATGCCCAGGATGGCGGCCCTCGAAAAGGGCAATCAATTAATCCTGCGGCTACGCACAGCGCCGGGAGTCCTTTTGCCTCGAGTGTTTGCGAGATCCTCGAGAGCGTATGGTATCCTCTCTGGCAGCCCTTGGCAAATACCATGGGAATTTTCCATTTATTTTCTTACCTTATCGTCAGCCCTCGTTACGCAAGAGAGTCCTGAGAACCCTAGCAAGGTCCTTCTCGATTATCAGGTTATTGTTTCAGCTCGTTCCTTCCCTCATTTTCTGCACGCAACTACTGTGGCACAGCTGCAACCCTGGACACTCCCCCTTTTTTTTTCTTGGTCTAGGCTGCTAGTAGTCTAGAGTCACGTCAAACAACCCTGCGCACACTGCATGTTTATATACGCCCTCGATAATAGCACCGACTATCTTGGGTGATCGATCGTCTCTGTGTCACTCGGCAGCGGATACCAGCAGGTTGTTAGAACTATTGCCTGTTTCGCAGGAGGAGAAGATCAAGGAACTGTTCGATCTGGCTGTGGAACGACAGTCCAAGGAGATGATGGACAACATCATGGGTCAGGGTATCGATAATCATCTGATGGGACTGCGCTACGCTGCCAAGGAAGCTGGTGAACCTGTCCCGGATATCTTTGCCGACGAGGCTTATAAAATCGTCAATCACTTCGCCCTGTCCACCTCCCAGGTGAGCGGAAGTCCGTGGTAGTAGCTCAATGACAGGATACACGGCCGGGGATGTCTGTCTCTAGGACAAAGTCAACGTTTGTCACGTCAGTTTACCGAAGATAATTAAAGGGAGAGGCCATTCGGTTTCATCCCTTATAGTAGTTTAGTTCACTTCAATTTGGCAACAAAGGTAATTGCTTCGACTTTCCGGCGGCGTTCGAGGACCGGATGCAATCCACGCTGGGGTCGCACGGGCCGGAAGTCGTAGCAGCGCCCTCACCCTCGTGATCCTTCGAGAGTCTCCCGTAGGCTCGAGACCGTACGGAAATGGCAGGAAGCTCTTGGGAAATAACGAAAATTCCCCTGGTGCATTCTATCGCGTGTACGCGAACCCTTTCTCCTTGCCGTATGAACTATGACCTCGCGACTTCAAGATCATTCGGCGGAACGATGCGCTTGAGTAAAAGGAAAAAAGGGAGAAAAGAATAATCTTTCTTTCAGGTAACAACGAGGAATGACGTAATCGCTGGTTACGGCCCAGTCGTTCCGGACGGATATGGCTGCGCTTACAATCTACGAAAAAATGGCTTCATATTCTCCGTCTCGGCGTTTCACAGCGACGGCTGTACGAACGCCATGCGATTCGCGCAAACGCTCGAGCACAGTATGCAGGCGATGGCGGCTATGTTGAAAAATACGAAACAGTGATGGTCACGAGGAACGCGCAGAGGAACGTAGCAGAGTAAAAGGGAATTCAGGTGCTGTTGAAAGTGAGAGAACGTCCAAGTAGGATCAGACAGAAGATATGTATGCATGCATAATACATCCCAAGCGAGAATACTCATCCAAGGGAGATAGAGATGTCTGTCTTGTCCGTTAGCCAGGAAACGGAAGTCCATATCGATGAAAGTATTTATCCTAGTATCGAATAGCTATAAAGAGAATTTATGTATACACTAAACATTACACAGAAGAGACATTTACATTCAGTCACGAAGCAAATGTAGACATTTGATCGGAACGTGACGTTTTTCACCGCACGTGTGAGAAATCAACTTTGTAACGGTGTGTACACACTCGACACTCGTCTCAACACACTAAAGAAAAACACATACTTTAAGAAATATTCACAGCGATGCGACGAAGTAATTGTAGTCGCTGCGTGTAGTAGGCAATATAATAGATTTGATCGGTGGTCGTGTACTTTAGCCTGTACCGTGTCTCCCGAGAGTCCGTTCAATCTGGAAGAAGCTATGGCGATCTTGTTGTAAGAAAAATATGAAAAATATGAAAAAATTATAGATTCTACCAGATCACATGGACTCCCGTCTGTCGCAGCAGCATTATAAGTGTAGCCAGTCGATTTCGGATTGGCGCCCGCACAGTAAACTCTTGTCCAATTCTTAGGTAGGTCGACTAATCGGACCAAGTGAAGGTTTCCGATCGGCGACATTAGCATCTATCTGTCTAATCTGTCTATCGCCTATTTCTCTAATCCCCTGATCATCCCAACTTCACAACCTTTTTCAACGAACCTTCAAAATATAGTCAATCGCGCACCCCGCTTAAAGTCACAGCGCTTGCAGCCAGCACGATTCAAATTGTAAAAGTGAATAGTCGCAAAAAATCATAGAGGTCTACTTACCCACAGTCATACATGAGCAATCTTGATAATTCGGCAATCCTTCTTAGATAACAATTCCTATCCAGATCGTTGTTATTCATTGTGCATTATCTCGTTCACACTTTTATCAAAGTTACTTTATTAACGTTTAGCTGCGTTTAAATGCTCACTTGCGAGATACGAGAGAGCGACGTTGTGTTTCGTTATTGTTACAGATATATTATATAGGTATATATGAAAGTAATTATATAAATATATAGATGTACAGACGTACACAAGCATAAAAACGATATATGGAAGTGTCCTATTCTAGCTTTAAGTGATGATGAACGAACTAACCTCCCGGCGAGGTGAAATGTATAATTATATCCTAATGAGAAATTCATACATATCGCGAAATATTGTGATTGCGCTTTTGCGGCTAAGAAATATCACTCGCATATCAGGCGGCAGCCATTTGCAAACTGAATACATGTTGTTGTTTAGAGTTACTTCAGTCTTTATTGCGCGACGTTTCGCGGGTGCCGAACTCTTACATGACGGTTTCTGATTCTCTGCCGAATGTAGACGTGACGTAACAACCAATCCCGGTCAGAGACAACGTCGCCATCTTGGATTTTGAGTTCGCGCGCGCTTAACGTTCGGCGTCGCGTAAGTAATAAATGATTTTTATTAAGAAAGTTTGGCTTTCTGTTTGTACAGAAAGTATACAAAGCATACCTCTGTAAGAAACTCAGCCACGTAACTGCGTCGTAACTAAGTGTACGTTTTTTTCTGTGCGATGAAAGGAAACAATAAAGATAAATTCGTTGCAAGATTATTGTGTGTTTATTCAAACTTGGCTGCCTGGAGTAGCTTCCGGTTTATTAGTTTTATTGAGGTTCCATGTGACAGAGACGGCGATGATATGAAAAATCACTACTCCGCGTTCGACGATCCCTTGCCTATTTTTTTTAGTCGAAACAAATAATCGGATAACAACAATTTTGTTGAAAAATATGTCGATTTATTGCCATCATGTATCTCGTTGCAATCTGAACTTAATCGGCCAAGTTCCATTAAGGCACGGAACTTAAACATTCCCATGAGTGACTAGGAACTAAACTAGACATATGTATTTCAGAGCCTTGGAACATCGGCAAGAGAATTTAAGTCCTTTAGTTCCAACTGAAGAAGAGCTTGAAGAATATATAATAAATAATATTTGGAAGAGCAGGAAACTGAAATGCTAAACAAAGTGTGGTCGTCTTGCGGTAAAAACAATTTCATGCCTGATCTCAAACCGCCTGATTTGTAAATTGCAAGAAACGATTCGTGTCAGCTACGTCAGACTATAAGAATTCAAAGGGCCCAATAAGAACACTAAAAAAATGTAGAAACTTATTCGATGCAGAATCAATTAGACAACATACGCTTTTAAGTTTTAACTAAAGTATAAAAAGCATCAAGCACAATTTGTTCCATGCAAATCACGCAAACACCGTTTTTTCACATTGTATCAAGAAACATGAGGATAACTGCAAAAAAGGTAATGACTGGAATAAATCTATCCTGATATAATTATTATAATCATTACTATAAGCACGTACGAACTACACAAAAATGGACACTATACTGTGGCAGTCTACAATAAATATTGTCATTTGACTTAACGCTCGCTGATAAGTATTTACAGGAATGCGGATGCGTTAGAAATTATAAATGCAGGTGTAAGAGACTTGTTCTCTCGATCGAAGACGAACAATATGTAAGTATACGGAAAAATGTATATATCTTATTGGAATTTTTTTGTTCTATCATCGTGTTGATCATTCTCTTTCTCAGACATCCTATTATTCATTTTGACTCAGCTTATTCTTTGAATTATACGAACGCGACGACAGATCCGCATTTACGTCTTCATAGGCTTTAGCAAATGTGTGTATAAGCAGTGCATTTGCCGTTGCTCGTCTTCTCGATTGGTGTTGTAAACATTTATCTATGAAATCTATTCCCTCTGCTGAGAGATTTTTTGGTGTTGCTGGACTCTCGCCCATTCCCACCTAAAAAAAAACACATGCATGTGACACATTGATATATTCGTGAACAGCTTACATTCCCCACTTTTAATTACGTACTTTAAACATTATTTGATAATTCGAGTCGTACTCTGCCCAGGGTCTCCTACCGCTTGCCATTTCAATAACGCAACAACCGACAGACCAAATATCAGCAGCTCTTCCGTGTCCCTCACTTCCTGTCTTCATGAAAACTTCCGGCGCCATATATGCTGTAATTTAACCGAGTGCTAGAGTCTGCTACCTGTTACTTTTAAGACACGCATTCCGTCAAGTCTCTTACCTTGCGTGCCAACGAAACCCTGAAGTTCACCTGGCATTGTCGTGTGAGCTTTAATTTGTACTGCTGAACCGAAGTCTCCGAGTTTCAAGCAATTGCCTTCGTCAGTGAGAAATATATTGGCGGCTGTACAAAATTATGTATATAAGAACAAGTTGCGAATGTTTTGTAGCTCCACATACACATATCTACGTGGTAGGCGGACTTACGTTTTATATCTCGATGAACTATTCCGTGGGCGTGTAAAGTTGAGACAGCCAGTAAAAGTTGACGTGTATATTTTCGAACTAATGATTCCGGAAGTCCGTTTCCGCTACCAGCTACTAGACTCTCGAGAGTCCCTTCGGCGCAGAATTCCATGAATATCAGCATTTCCTCCTGTAAAGTCCAAATAATAAACTCTCTCTATCCATGCTGTATTATCAGTGCTGATTTCATTGCGTGAATCGTACTCTGTGAATTTCAACTCCGTAGTAGCGCACTAGATGCTTGTGTTGGATACCCTCGAATATCTCCAGCTCCTCGGCTACTCGTTTAATCGCCCTGTGATCTCCTGGCTGAAGCTGAACCTCCTTCATCGCCAATAATTCACCAGTTCTATTGTTGACTACCGTGTAAACCTTACCGAATCTTCCCTGACCTATTTCATGAACATTCAATTACAAAAAAATATTTTCAGCTAACACAATTTGTCTACTGACCAATCTTAATTCCTCTCTGCCAAGTAAACGTGACGCGTCTAGACTTAATACGGACTCTGTCGACAGCCTTTCTGTCCGTGAGTTGTCCGATGAGCTCTCGACTTCGCAATCTCTCGTCGATCTCCCGTTCCAGTTTCTTCACAGCCAGGGCGACTCTCTGGGGTCGCGTTAAACCACGTTCGGGAACTGTTAAGCTCACTGCCAAATTACCGTCCGAAGTGCACACGATGTTTGTACTGCTGCTCGTCGGACTCCTTTTTGTTCCGCCAAAGACTTCTGGGGATTCTAAGCTGTCTCTAAATTTCTGATGAAGATTCAGACTCGGTGTTCTTGATCTCACGCGTACAGGAGATGCTGCTCTCGATTTTGGCAGTTTTCTCAATCCTGAAAAAAAAATCATTTCTATCCATCTTTTTCTCGTTCATAGGAAGCTCAAAGAATGATTCTTTCCGAAGGCTACCTTCTACGTCTGAAATCGCCGCCGGTGTAGCTGTACCTACGACGTGCGATATGCATCTGTCCATGCAGGTCTTCAGTTCCTCAAACTCCTGATCAGTGAGGTGTTTTGTGTTGAGCGGTTCGCAAACCGTCATTAGGTATTCCAGACCCTGATTAGCCCATCGTGGCCTGAGTCCTCGGCCACGCTCGCATCTGGTCCTCACAAAGTCCATCCAGAGGAAGGCGAAACTTACCAAACTGCGCGCCAAGACAACTCTCTCTTCCGGTAAGAAGAGTTTGCAAAGCTCCTTGTGATAGTCGAAGCCCATTTTATACGCCTGATGAAGGATCTCACGTGTTCGGGTGTTAATTGAGATACGCTCAATCTCCATAAGTGGTTCCTTGATACGATCCGCGGAAATTTGGAAGTCCTCGATTACCTTAGTTATCTCATTTCTCAGATCCAAGACTGCTCCCTAGTGAAATTTCCCCCGGATTAACCGGATCGTTCCCAGAAATGAAACAGTCGATATTTCGAATATGTCTAAAGAACCTTCAGCTCCAGTATGGATGTCGTAAAGTCTCCAAAACTCTTTGGCATCTTCTCTATATCTCTTCTTAAACATCTTGCAAAGGCAACGCTCTTTACTATCCTCTCGCGAGCCTCAACGAACATCCCTTGCAATTCACGACCCACGGACATCATGGTCAACCTAACGTCATCGTGTACAAATGATCCAATGTGAATATGTCAATCTACGGAAATTCGATTAATCCTTACTTGGTTGAGATTTCATCCTCGTGCTCGCCCTCTTTAAAGGAGCTTTCTATTTCGTTAGGACGATTTATCAGGAATTCCTTGACTTGATAAAGCATCGTACATGCGATTTCACTGCAGTACCCAAAAAAAAGAGCCATATGGAAATTAATAAATTTCGAAGATTTTTCAACAAATTATTCAGAAATCATAAGAATTTTTTATTTACCAAAATTTGATCGTTGCTACTCCGTATCCATCCTTAATATCTCCGGCAATGGATTTGACAAAAGACCATTCATCCTCGATCAGATTCTTATGAAAACTATCATGCTGGACCATATCGACCCACTGCTTTAAATAGTTGAGGTACAGCTCGAAAACAGCCTTAAGGTTTTCATCGAATTCAGAAATGTGTTGATCAAACAACGATTCGCAGGCTACTTTGTCGCTGGCAACTGCGGCTTTCGAATGCGCTTCGAATCTGTCACGATGAATACAGGCGATTCTAAGACCTTCGCGTAATTCGCGCATCAATTGTCTAACGGAAAGTGCGCTAGGCTGTTCTGGTTTTTGCTCTAGTCGCATGCGCAGGAACTCGTGAACCAGGTCAAGCGGCACCCGAGTAAGAAACACAAAAGCTGCCCTGAAATTAAAAAAGAAAAACGTCTACCTTCTGCCTTTAAGTTCCAGACAATCCCACTTCTTACCTATACGAAGGAAGATTCAATTCTTTAGCCTCTTTGCTCCAGACCCCGTAGCGCCTGAGTTCTCGATCACCTTCGTACTCTTCACCGGCGCTACTGTCGCCATCTTTCCCGTCATACTTTTCCAGGGCCAATCTGGCTTTTCTCAGAACGGCCGTGTGTAATATTTCCAGAAAGTTCAGACTTTTTCTCAGACCCCTTGTCTTCAAGACATCCTCTATATACTTCCTGATATACCAAGAATATTTTCATTAGTTATTTTTGCAAATTTTCATTTCTCAGTCTCGCATCACTCACCTGTATGCTTGTCTGTCGAATTCCAAGATATAAAAATCAAGTCTATCTAGTCTGTCAGCCTCGTTACATGTAAATAAAGAGTCCGTTGTGGGCGACCAGGACTGTGCAAAGGAAACACCACCGAAGGAGGAAGCATTGCTATTGTTACTGTCGGATGGACTAGCGTTATCCTCAGGTTGTGAGATATCGAAACGGACGACATTCTGTCGGTGTTCGATCGAGTCAGTAGTGTCCGATGATCGGGAACTGAAAGAGCACCCTAACCTCTCCGTATCACTTCGATCTTTAGCTTACCATATTTCGAGATCTACCTTATTCCAGAATCGACGCTATCGTCCTGTCTCATTTTGGCATGAGCGAACATTAGGAGCTTCCCGAGGATCAGAAGCTTCAATCGATGATGTTTGGTCATGTTGTACCAAAGACACATGGCCTTGACCCTATCAGTGAACTCGGGACTCTTGTAGAGAGGATAATTCGCGGCGAAGGCCTGCGATGACGGGTAGAGACCTTCTGCAGTCTCCAGTCTACCGAGAAGACCTTCTACTTGTTTCAGGGCCTCCGATTGGCTTCGGATACAGGCTCGACAGAACATCGAAAGACATCCTGGACAAACTCCTAATTCAATGTTAGGACTAGATGCAGTGGAAGTGACGCCGTCGATACCGCTGTCATTGGAAAGAGTGGAACCCAAGGAACTATTGTCGGAAACATTGGCGACTGGATCAAACCTTTAAGAGAAAGCATGGACGTAAATTGTTGTTTTCTAAAATTTTAATAACAATTATTTCCAATGGCATTACCTATATTCGATAATTTCAGTGAGCAATGCACCGACTGCTTCCCGCTGCTTGCACAAGTACTCGTCCTGCGCAAGAGGGGTGCGTTCTGCGTGATGAGCCTGAAGCTCCAGCCAGATCAAGTCTTTCAGTTCGTTCTGCCATCGTGTCTCCTCGTGACTCATTTGCCTGCGACAGCGATCCTTGTCCGTGCTTCCCTGTCGAATAGAGACAGCCTGGATGAGCTTGCCAAGACAAAATTTAAACTGTACAACTAAAGACCTGACGCACCTTTCTCCACTTTCGAAAATTTGCTACGTAACAGTGCATCTTACAGAGTAAAATTGCTAAATAATTGCGCTAGGAGACAATTGAAACAGAACGTACTGAAATGACTGGAAAGATTGCCTTAGATATTTTAGCATATTTATAGACCTTCGCCGGAGCCGATATCTTTTGTTTGCTCTTTTTTAATCTTCACATAAACTTTATCTTTTACGTCTTGCACCTCCCACGACAATGAAATAAGGTGTTTTCACGAAGATATGTAGTATATTTTGTAACGTAATTCTTTAACTTATGACCCGACACCGATAGCAAAGCATACGAGAACGAATTATCTTCGAGAACCAACCTACGTTACCTTCGGCCGCCCACCCGTCGGTCCTGAATCCGCAGGCCAGGCGGGCGCCAGCCAATTCTTTTTCCACCGGGAACTGACGAGCCGGTATAAACTGGGAGTTGGGGGGGAACAGGCCCAACTC